TTTTTTTTTTGATAGTTTCATAATTTTTAGTTCTTTAAGTGACTCTAAGCTAGACCAGTTATAAATTATTGGTGCTGAAAGGATTTATGACTGGGGTTCTTTTCAAGGGAGGGGCCATTTATTACTTTTAGTTCTGTTAATCTTACTGTCCAGAGATCTAAAGATTGAATTAACAGTTCAGCTGACATCAGTGCTATATTCTAAATACCTATACTTTAAGGGCATTTCTGTGTTGTTTACAAATACCCTTTAAGTTATTTTGTGAAAAATAATAGAATAATAGAGCTAGCTGGTTCATATTCATATTAGAGTAATTTAATTGTTCTGCTTCACGCTGTTGAATTATTTTGTAGCAGTAGATAAACGAAAAACTTGACTTACATCCAGGATACAGAATGTCTTAATCATTCTTGATATTTTAAGAGAGATGAGAGGTAACAGACTTTTTTTGCTTAGTGTCAGGTGTAGTCAACACAATTTTGCTGGCTTAAAAAAAAAAATCATTAAAGCTAATTACCAGGAAAATTTAACGCTTTGGTTGTAACCTGATCTTTTTTCTTACCCTGAAGCATATGGGAATTTTATTAACTTGAGTATTGATGTTACTTTTATATAATATTATAACAGGACTTGGTGAGTTGAATGTATTACTGGCTTTGAATTATGCCTTTCTGTGGATTTTACTGAGCTAAAAACCTATTTGAATATTGTTAGTCTTTTAAGTTTATTTTTCTTTTCTATTTAATTTGAAGTCATGCCACAAAGGTTCAGATTTTATTTTTGTTCTTCCTAATAGCTAATAATAATTATGTGGTTACTATGTGCCTTGGTAGTGCTTCTCATTTAATGCTTATTTTCTAATTTAATTCTCAAAATAAATTTGAGGTAGGTACTAGTATTATCACTATTTTACAGATGATGCTTATAGAGATTAAGCAACTTAGCCAAGTTCAAGCATTTTTAAAATTGTGCATTAGAATATGTGGCTAGTTAACTTTTTTCCTGAGGAGTCCTTGCTCACGTGTAATTTTCATTGACTATAACAATATTGGAATAGTATTTTTTTGCACTGATGGTTATCATCAATTTACAAGTATTGAGCCTTAGAATTAACTTAGTTGTTACCTATTTTGCAGAGTGCTTTATCCACTAACTCTCCTCACTGGAGTGAATTCCAATAAAATAGTGCTATATTTCATTGACTCTTAAAATGCACAGGGTCTTACCCTTGCATTTTAACATTGCTAAAATCTAAAATCAGGATGTATTTTACAATGGAGTTTTGAGAATTCTAAATTTAGTAGTTAACATTGTTTGAATGCTAATGAAAGCTTGACCACTGTCCACTGTAGTAAAATTTCCTTAACTTCCTCCCTTTCGTTTCAATCATCCCTTATTAAGAATCATCTAGACTCCCAAATTTCTCATTATAACTGAACCCAGGGGAGAAAATATTTAAACCTTGGGAGCAGAGATAGGATAGGAATTCAGGTCTGAGTGTGATACCGCTATTTCTTCTTTCAGAACACTTTTCACTGGAGTACAGTAGTGTCAAAATCAATAAAAGAAAAATAAGATTTTTATTAGACTATTTATTATAATCAATATGTGATAACACAAAACTTTTGCAGTCCTTTGCAATTTTTTAATCCAGAAGAAACTCTGTTTACCATTCTTAAAGGAATATTTCAGTCATAAGATCTGGTATGTGTAAATATGTTGTAGAATAGTTAAACCTGGTTAAAAATGGCAGTTTTACTCATTATATAATTTTGGGGTTAGGGCTATTTAATTACCTAATCGCATTTCCCTCTGCACAGTAATAGCATATTGGGGAGAGTGTAAAAATAAAAAATTTGGGCCCTGGCCAGATGGCTCAGTTGGTTCGGGTTAATCCCATACACCAAAAAAGGGTTTTGGGTTTCTGGTTTGATTTCTCCTCCAGGCGCATATGGGAGGCAACCAATTGGTCTCTCTCTCTGCCCCCCTGCCTCTCTAAAAATAAATGTATCCCCTTCTCTCTCCCCCCTTCCTTTCTAACTAACAAGAAAAAGGCATCTATCCTTAGTTAGGATTTCTGGCGTATGAGTATGCTTAGTATAGGTCAGTGATTTTCAACCTTTTCCATCTCATGGAACACATAAACTAAGTACTAAAATTTGGCACACTAAAAAATAAATTTTTTGCCAACCTGACAAAATAGGTATAATTAGGATTCATTCACACCAGATGGCTGTTGTGTGCTGGCTGTGGTCATTTTTTTATTTGACAGCCTAAGGGGAAAGAGGTCAGTGCTCCTGACTGAATAGTCAGGTATTGCATGTTTTAAAAATTCTTGTGGCTCACCAGTTGAAAATCACTAGTATAGTTAAAATAAAGGGTGTCTAGTCACCTTATACCAATGGCTCAAATTCCTGATAATCTTTTTCTTTATTTATTATGGTAATTTATTTCGGTACTTTGATTTTGTCTCATATCTGGAAAAATACCTACATACATAAATATGTAAATAGGTGCACAGACATGTTCATTGTTGGCTAAATGTCCAAGTCATCAGTGTGATATTTTCAAAAGGCAGACACAGTTTGAATAGGCACATATAACATTATATCAGCGTTCAAATATAGCTGTTTTACGTAAATATCTAACCAAAGGAGATTATTGCGATTTTATTATTTACTACACAATAGACAGGGACTTGAAAATACAGAGTTTTGAACACCAGAATTGTTTTATCAGCCTAGTATTGGGCTGATTTGTTGCTTAGAATATGGCCAATTATTAGCCTTTATACCAGCATTTTTGCAGCATTTGATAGTATTATCCCTTCTTTCTTGGCCTCTATGACAACTCTTTTTTTATTTATCTTCTTAATCTGTATTGGGTCCCACGTTCACAGTCATTCAGAAGCTAGTCGCCCCCACGGCCGCCCCCCCAGGATTTGATCCTTCAGCTTTACGTGCTGTTTCAGATTTTAGCGAACACCCAGGGGTGGATTCCTCAGATCCACAGACTCTAAAAAACAATTTAAAAAACCCAATTTTAGTGGTACTTACAGTAAACCGTGCTCTTATTCCTTAGGCTTTTTTCCTACTAGCTTCCTGCTTCCAGCTATCTAATTTTATCTCCATCTCAATATCAAGCAGTGGTAGGTGATTTTTTTTAGCTGGAACAAGTGAAATAGCCAGGAAGGCCCTTGCCATCGTTAGATACGTGTATATACAGCTACAACTACACATACATATGAACATACATATTTGTTTTACCACATAATTTAAAGTGGAATTTAGTGACTAGAGAAAAAAATGTTATGATTTAAAAATTTTTGTTTGTTTGAAGTTCTTTATCTGGATGTTATGAATGTAGTGAGCATGTTATGATAAGCAGGTTACGCTGTAGGGTGGTCCTTGTCCTTCCTCTTCTCATTCCAGTCTTACCCTCTTTTATACACTCCCTCTTCCTTCCCTTGCAAGAGAAAACAGCTCAGGAAGCTGTCCTACAGGCACTAATCCGGGAACTTCGGGCTTCTTGACCAGAACCTCCCTGGAGGTTGCAGTCCCCACACACGCAGCATTGCTTTGGAGGAGGAACTTCTGTAATGAGTCTCAGGCAGAGTGACTGAGGTTGCTGGCTGCAAGTGTTATCCTTTGCAGAAACTCAGTTGGAAATTCTTTTTTTTTCTGCCAACTCTCATATTCTTCATCTGTGAATTAAAAAACATGTTCCTAACCCCTCCCCCCACAAGTAAGGATGGACTACTTAGGAACATTTACTTCTGAAGATTTCGTCATCTTTGCAATCAGTGTACACTCTAGAGCAGTGTTCTCTTACCCCAGGGCCCCCTTTCCTTGTTGTCCCCGACTTTGTTGTGAGTTAACATGCCATATAACATGTTATTAGGGAAGTTTTTAGATTCTTAGTCTTCTTAGAATCAATTGTGATTTATATAGTAGTTAAAGGGAATTGTAATTAAACTTGTACATTTTTCTGTTAACTAAACTATCTCCATACCAAATAAAGTAGTCATTTAAGTATCATGGTTTTATATTTCTTACTGTCTTTACTAATACACTTTTTCAAAATCCCAATTTTACTGATATTTATAATAAACCCTGTTCTTATTATCTAGAATAAATAATCATACATGAAATACCATAGGTTGAGATAATTTCTGCAACGGACAGAGATAAAGAGGAAGGGGAGGAAATTTGAGAACTCACTTTAGACTTAGATTAGCATTTCATGTGTAGCCTCAAACTCTTACCAAGAAGCCTCCAGTAATACTCCTTTTAGAAAAGACAGCCAAGAGGAAATTATTTCGTTCTTTTAGCTTACAGAACTGAAAAAAGAAAAACATACCTTTTGTTTTCTACTTTAGGAATGTATTTTTAATAACTGATAGTACTCCAATGGTAATTTTTTTCTAGATTTCTGTTATTAAAGCTAAACATACATAATTGAGGATTGTGATCTGATTATGATCAAAGGGTAGACAGATCAATAGAGCAAGTAATCAGCACCCAGATATTTTAAGGGGTGAAGAGAGGTGATGGATAAGAAGGAACATTTTCTTGCTAGGGAAACTAAGTATAATATTTTAATGGTAAAATATTTCTCTTTGCCTATCTTCATGGTTATTTTTTAGGATTAAATAAGATAATACATGTAAACAGTTTAGAGTAGAGCTTACTGTTTAGTAAGTCCTCCATACATTTAATTGTTGCTATTATTATTTGGATTTTTAAAAAGAGAACCCATACTCAGGGACAGCTGATGGTAAATACACCTGCAGTTTACTATTTAACAAAGTATTTAGGATATTAAAAATGGTATCCAGCTTCTTACTTCACCTGTTTGTTGAATTGCTTTGGGGAAGTTAGCATAAAATTTAAATCTTTTAGTCTGGTTTAATAGAATACAATAAATTTAATGACGGTCTTACAAGTGAAATAATTACATTTATCCTTTGTTTCTTCTTTTTTTTTTTTACTTTGTTTCAGGTTTCCCCTCAAAAAACCTATAAGGTAAGTTGTTCAGTTGTACTTCATACATTTAGGTTAAATTTTAATTGGAAGCATTCCTTTGAAATTATGGTGCATTTGGGGTATTTGTTTGTTTTAAAAAGTGGATTTTAGTTTAAAATTTCAAAATATTTTACAAATTTAAAATGTAACAGGTGTTACTATTTTTTCTTGAAGATGGCATTGTTTTGATAATTTCAGTATTTTTAATATAAGCATTTTAAAAGTTTGTTCAAATTGGTACTTAAGGTCACTCCCTATGAGGAGGTTTAATTTTTTTTTCTTTTATTTTTCCCCCCTTTCCTGCTTTTCTTCTTCTTATATTTATTTTTATTGTTGTCTCTCTTACAGATTTTAATCTGTTGTGACTATTTTCACTTGTGAATAGCGTAGGGAGTGTAAATGGATTCCAGTTTTTGATGTGTTTTATCATCTGCTTTTAGTTAATGAACTTTGGCAAACTGGATCAATCTTAACTGCTTTAAGACAGTAAAGGAAAAAATCCAAAATGTTCAAATGTCTGTACCCATATCCATGTCTCCACATTTATTAATTTGCCAGGATTAAATGCCTCTTCCTCAGAACTTTGAAGCATCTCTCTCATCTTGTCATAAATACTGTTTAAAATGTAGGTAGCATGTCATTCCTAATTAACATTTTTAATGACACCATAGTTTATCTTGGCATTGTTAATCTTGGCATTACAATTAATTAGTAGAGTATGTATTTATAGTCATGGTCTTATTTACTGCCCAGCCATTATCTGATCAGTATAATTTGGTAGCCCATAAGCAAAATAATAATAATTGTAGTGTCATTGGGGCTTGGCTAAGACAACTGTGACTAGAACTCTAGGCAGGCTTTAAGTGCGGCTTCCCCGAGATTTTTTTCAATGGCTGACATCAGTGCTATATTTACACAGTGATTTTAGACCTGACCATGGTATATAGGTTTGGGAAATGTACTGAATTACTTGTAGGCACAGTTTTCTTTTCTGTTGAATGGAAATAATAATGATTAGCCTTTGAAAACCACTGAAAGAATTTAAGCAGTTATATCTAAGAATAAAACAGGCTTTATTATGGAATACTATTTTTATAATTTTTAAGTACTTTTTATAACCAGGTAACTAGACTCTGAGTAACATGTAGCACAGACTGAATTTTAAAACTTCTTGAAAAATATAAATTAGAGAGGTTTATGGGACTGTATAAGGTAAACTGATATCTTGGTTTCTCTCTGTAAGACACACTTGAGATTTTTAAACCGAGTTTTTATTCTGACTGTTTTGTAGTAACTGTTTGATTGCTTTGATTTAATTTAGGCATGGAAGTATTTTGAACCGAGAGTCACCAACAGATAAGAAGCAGAAAGTTGAGCGCAGTGCATCCCATGATTTTGACCCCACAGGTAAAAACACTGTTTGTTCTTCCAAAAGATATTGAAAGGAGTAAACTTGAGGATACTACAGCTTAAGCTACATAACTCCCCAAAACACCGGTTTAAGAAGCAGGACTTCTGTTTAGGACTCTCCTTCCTCTTCAATTATACAACATAAACCCTTTGCATTCAGGAGAAATGCAAACATTTTTAACTTTCAATACTATGGATTCCACTATGGAAACATCATTGTAAAGTGTATTATATTTAAATATAGTGATGATAATAGAAAGAGTTTTTGCATTATAATTGGTTTTTAAAAAATGTTTTTATTGATTTTAGAGAGAGAGAGAGAGAGAGAGAAATACCGATGAGAGAGAAGCATTATTGATAGCTGCCTCCTGCACGACCCCTACTGGGGATTGAGCCTGTAACCTGGGCATGTGCCCCAAGGGGGAATTGAACCAGTGATCTCTTGGTGCATGGGATGACACTTAACCAATTGAGCCACACTGGCCAGGCCATAATTAGGTATTTTGTTAAAACCAAGGACCTAGTATTAAGATAAATCATAGGTATGAACCAGTAGTATGTCATAAAATCAAGTCTATAACAACTACCAATTTCCTTAGTCATTTAAAAATTCAAGTCTGGAGTAGGTAAAATGCAACTTCAAAGTTAATTATCATCTCATTTTAGAGTAAGCAAATGAAGAAATCCCTTTTTCTTCAGTAAAAAGTATCCTGACCTCAGAGCTGTCTTTCAACCTCAGTAGTGTTGCTCTTTCCTAGAGTTTTATGTTAGCAGACTTTTTACTATTTATATTCTGTAATTTATACACATAGTTTGAACTCCTCTTATAAAATATAGGCTTTTGCTTTCTTCTTGTAAATTTACCAAGGATTTAATTTATAAAAATTGCTTGATAATTTTGCTTCCATCATTTGAAACTGATGTGTTGTTTGTGCATATACTATTTTATTCAGTTGTATGTTGCTGTGACAAAAGGTAAAGTAAGTGAATGCTAAAGTTCCCAGATACATAAATACAATGTATCTGTTTTTAGATATTTTCATTTAGAAATAAAATTTTTAATTTTTAATAGAGAGTAAGTATATTTTTTGTATCTAATTAAGATGCTTTATGCTTTTATTTTTATTATCTAAGAAGGAAAGCATAGGAAGTGAATAGCTAATAATTTACCTGCATCTTTGGTAGTAGGTAAAAAATGAAACCTCAATCATCAATTTAGGAGGTTTTGGTGGTAGGAGTATATGATATGTAACATACTACATATTACATTAAAGATAATGGGTCTCCATTAAACGATAATTTTTAATTTCTGACACCTAATTTTGACATCATGGGGCTCAGAGGCTTTTATTTACATGATTACTTACTCTCTTGCTAATGAGGGTCACAGTTTTCTGCCCTATGTTCATGAAAGTATCACGGTCTCTTTAGATTGACTTACTCCGTATTGTTCATCTGTGATGTGACAGGTTTAGCAAAGTGATACGCAGTGCTTCATAATGAGATAATTAGAGCTTTTAGCGCTTTTCTGTCTCTAAAATTGTCAGATGATATATTTTGTAGACTATTCTTGTGTTATTTTGTTTGAACATATTTTTATTAGCACTGTCTTTTCTTCGGTAAATCTTTAAAATATGTCATTACTTGTACTGTTCGTGACAATTCTGAAGTGCTGTCACCTGTGATGTTCGTACTTTATGTTTGCACGATTTAACTTGATCATGATTCATTCTTTTTCCCCCATGAATTTTTCCCTTACATTGGTCTCCATATTTTCTATATCTCTCTCCTTTTCTCCCGCTCTTGTGCAGATAGCTCCTCCAAGAAGACAAAGTCTAGTTCAGAGGAGAGTAGATCCGAGATATATGGTAAGCTTATATAGCGAATTCAGCCTTGCACCTTTGGAGCTTGCTTCATGCCCTTTCCTTTTTTAAAACAACTGCAGCCTTCCCGTGTCTGCTCTGCATGGCATGATCTGCAGGGAAAGGGAGCCTGGGGTTTTAATGTGACTGTGATGTGGAAGCTTAAGATTGCTAGAAACTAACATTGCAGAGTAAGAATAGGCCACACTACTCCTCATCTCTTTCATTTTGTCCATGTTCGGAAAGTGATTATCTCTAGAATCTTTGAGTGAGGTCCTCCGTAGAACACAAATAGGTGTGGAATCCTCCTTAACTTCTTCCCATGCCCCATGCAGAGTTTGGATCATGCAGAATTTCATCCATGCTACCGGTCTTTTCCGCTAAGTATAGTGCTAGTGTAATTTAATGTGTGGTAGCAGTTCTTTGGAATTTTTATTTTACTTTTTATTTGTTTATTTTTAATTGCCTCATCTTCTGGAAATGCTGTTCTTACATAATTTATCCACACCAGCAAAAATACCTTAAGTATTTTATTTTTGTAACTTGAAGAATTTGCCTGTGCCTTTCATAAGTTTCCCCAAAGCTTATTCTGCATGGGAAAATTTCAAAATGGCACCTTCTTAAAGTAATCTTTATAAAGAGTAGGTTTAACCAGAATGGCCAACTTTTATAACAGATGATTGAAACACTAATATTTCCAGATTGTGTCCTGTCTTCCAAGGGTACTATAAACCATATTTGTGAAGTTCATACATATTTTTCCTTTTCCTACTTTTTCTTTCCCTCTGGCCTTGTTTTGATATCTAATTTGTTTTTTGAGAAAAGTGAATAGGAGAAGCAGGGCCTGGAACCAAGACTTTAAAAATAATCTCTGAAAGACTAAGAAGTTATTTTTTTTAAAGGAAATTCCAGATTTGGCATCAAAGGAAAATCATGTCTTCTCTAATAGAGCCAAAGTCTATCAAATAGAAGTTTCCCAGGTATAGCTGTGGCCTAGCTTGATAAACATGAAAGGGAAATAATATGTGAAAATTTCCCTAACCCTCAAGACATTTTACAGTTTATATCTCCTGACACTTCAGCTTGTAATATCAGTTACTTTTAAATATTACGAGGCCTCAGTGTTTGGTTATAAAGCAGTAAATGCTTCTTTGTTAGATAGTTCTTTGCTTGGGTTTTTGTGGTGAGTGTTTTTTCTATATAATTAAGCCTTTTACAGTACAGTAGTTGAACAAGGAATGTGTACCATGCCAAACACATGTCAGGTTTATGTTTTTTCTTCCTAAGTATTGAGCTCCACATAAGTAAGAAGTAGCTTCTGAATTTCTCAAGACTCTTACTCTGATCTCTATAGAGAGTTTCTGATTGACGATCCTCTCCTTAGGAGTGGGAACACGATATAGCCCCACTCATTTCTAGTAAGCTTTGCAATTTTGTATTTTACACACGTGCACCCATTTTCCTAGATCTGTGGATCTGTGCAATGCATGCAAAAGCTTGCTGTTTGCTTAAGATGATAGGATGTTTGCTTTGGATAATAAGGTGATAGGTATGTATGAAAGCTTCTGTTTGATTTGGGTGTTAGTATTCCAGTGATACTGACACTCGTGCCGACCTACCGTTAGCCTGGTAGTAATAGGGAAGCAGGGTGTGGATTCTTTGGGTATTTGTTTATTGAGAACCCTTGAAATGCCTTTTTTGGAAGGAACTGAGCCATGAGTCCCCAAAAAGCACTTAGAGAAGGATGAGTTTATCAGAACTGAGGGAGCATTTTAACTTAAATCTCTTAGACATTACAAATATTTTATCACCTCTTTGATGAATAGACTTCTTCAGACTGTGAGCAGTTAGCATGGGTGAAAAAGAATCTCTCTAATCTTTAGGGAGCCAAGGAAAGCTTGGACATACTGGAGTATGAGAGTAGAACAAAGTGACCGGTCACATTGCTTTAGTGTAGGGTCTCTCAACAAGCCAGCTTCTAACTTTGGAGATTATACATTGTCTTGGAGTAAAATTCACTAATTGGACACTTAACACAAATGCCAGTTTATTCACTTACAAATTGTTTAAACTTTCTAAGCGATTTTTTAAAAATATTTTTAAATTTTATTTTTGTTTCAAATATTACAGATGTCCCTTTTTCTCCCCAATGACCTGTTCCACCCCCTCCCCAGTCCCTCTCCCCACCATTGTCCGTGTCCTTGGGTTGTGTATATATGCACATAAATTCTTTGGTTACTCTCCCCCCCCTCCACCCACCTGCCTCCTCCATCCCTCTGACATTCGTCCGACTCATCTATGCTTCCATGTCATTGAATCTATTGTGTTCATCAGTTTATTAAGTTCTTTAGATTCCACGTATAAGTGAGATCATGTGATGTNTTGTTTAAAATATTACAGATGTCCCTTTTTCTCCCCAATGACCTGTTNCTTTTTCTCCCCAATAACCCGTTCCACCCCGTTCCTTCCCCCTCCCCAGTCCCTCTCCCCACCATTGTCCATGTCCTTGGGTTGTGTATATATGCACATAAATTCTTTGGTTACTCTCCCCCCCCTCCACCCACCTGCCTCCTCCATCCCTCTGACATTCGTCCGACTCATCTATGCTTCCATGTCATTGAATCTATTGTGTTCATCAGTTTATTAAGTTCTTTAGATTCCACGTATAAGTGAGATCATGTGATGTTTGTCTTTCTCTGCGTGGCTTATTTCACTTAGCATAATATTCTCCAGTTCCATCCATACTGACCCAGAGGGTACGAGATTCTTCTTCTTTACAGCTGCGTAGTATTCCATGGTGTGAATATCCCACATTTTTTTATCCACTCATCTACTGATGGNATGTCCCACAGCTTTTTTATCCACTCATCTACTGATGGGCACTTGGGCTGTTTCCAGATCTTAGCTATTGTGAACTGCACTGCTGTGAACATAGGGGTGCATATATTCTTTCAGATTAATGTTTCAGGATTCTTAGGGTATATTCCTAGAAGTGGGATCACTGGGTCAAAAGGCAGCTCCATTTCTAATTTTTTGAGGAACCTCCATACTGTTTTCCATGGTGGCTGCCCCAGTCTGCTTTCCCACCAGCAGTGCACCAGGGCTCCCCTTTCTCCACACTCTCGCCAGCACAAGTCGTTTGTTGACTTGTTGGCGCAGCCATTCTGACAGGTGTGAGGTGACACCTTATTGTGGTTTTAATTTGCATCTCTGATGATTAGCGACGTTGAGCATTTTCTCATGTGTCTCTTGGCCATCTGTGTGTCCTCTTTGGAGAAGTGTCTATTCACGTCCTTTGCCCATTTCTTAATTGGGTGGTTTGTCTTCCTCTTGCTGAGTGCTATGAGTTCTTTGTACAGTTTGGAAATTAGCCCCTTATCAGATGCATCCTGGGCAAATATGTTTTCCCAGACTGTGGGGTTCCTTTGTATTTTGAGGCTGTTTTTTTTTTTTCTGTACAGAAGCTTTTCAGTTGGATGTAGTCCCATATGTTTATTTTTTCTTTTGTTTCTCTTGCCCTAGGAGATGTATCAGTGAAAATTCCACTGCGTGCAATGTCTGTGACTTTACTACCTATGTTTTCTTCCAGGATTTTTATGGTTTCGTGACTTACATTTAAGTCTTCTATCCATTTTGAGTGTATTTTTGTGTATGGTGAAAGCACAGCAAAGTGGGAATAGAGGGATCAACCTCAACATAATAAAGGCCATATATGACAGACCTACAGCCAACATCATACTCAATGGGCAAAAACTAAAACCATTTCCATTAAAAACAGGAACAAGACAGGCATGTCCACTTTCACCCTCTTACTCAACATACTACTGGAAGTCCTCGCCAAAGCCATCAGACAGGAAGAAAACATAAAAGGTATCCAAATTGGAAAGGAGGAAGTAAAACTGTCATTATTTGCAGATGACATGATACTGTACGTAGAAAACCCTAAAGACTCCATCAGAGTATTATTAGATTTGATAAACGAATTTGGAAGGTAGCTGGATACAAAATCAACATCTGGAAATCAATGGCATTCTTATACACCAACAATGAACTTGCAGAGAGA